GCACGGGGGAGCATGAGCACCGCGCTAACCCCCTCCGGCGGTGCACCAATCCCCGCAGCATCAGCACCGGACTCGGCCGCGGCCCATCCCGGCATCGGCGCGTTATGCAAGCAGAGCGTGCCGCCCATCGACTCGACGAGCCGCCTCGCGATCTGCAGTCCGAGCCCGGTGCCCTCGGCGTCGCTCTTACGCGCCGCCGCCCCGCGGTAGCCCCACTCGAAGGCGCGCCGCAGGTCCTCGTCCGGCAGCGGCGGCGAGAACGAGTTCCAGACCTCGGTCAGCACCTTGCCCTCCTCCTCGCACCAGCGGCACGAGAGGCTGACGCACGGCTCGCCTCCGCCCGGCGGAGGCCGCGCGTACTTGAGCCCGTTGTCGATCACGTTGGCGAGCGCCTGCAGCGAGGCTCCAGGACGGGTCTGGCGCACGTCTGCTCGAGCCCGCTGTCGATCTCGTGCGGCGGAGCGCCTCGCGCAGCGCGCGCTCGGACGCCCTCACGCCGGGCACCTCCTCGTCGAAGAGCGCGAGCAGCTGCGCGCCGCGCGAGGAGGCGACCGCCGCGCCGACCGAGCACGCCTCGCGCAACACGTCCGTCACGAAGAGCACCGGCACGCCCACCTCGCCAGCAACCTCCCCCACGAAGAGAGAGACCTCCTCGCCCGCCCACCCCGCCGCCCCGCCCTCTTCCCCCCCCGCCGCCCTCCTGCCCTCCCGCCCGCCCTCCACCCGGGCGGCCGCTTTGCCGGGGTCACCCTTTGCCCAGGCCTTGGCACCGCCCTCTCCCGCGGGCGCCTGCTGCCGCCGCTCGGCCGGCGGGTCCCGCGGGGCGAGCAGCGCCATCGCGGCTGCGGCGGCGGGGAGAGCGGGCGCCGATGAGATTGCGTCGAGCGGCTCGAGCAGGTCGGAGGTTCGCTCGGCCTGGAGGAGGGAGGGGCGGCGGTGGAGGGATGTGTGTGTGTGGGGGGGGGGGGGGTGGAGGAGCCGGGAGGGCGGCAATGCGAGCAATGCGAGGGTGTGTGGGGTGCGGAGGAGGCGGAGGGCGGTCTAGGCGGGGAGAGCGAGGCGCCTGCAGGAGGATGTCGCGCAGGAGGCTGCGAGAGGCAAAATCCTCGAGCGGGAGCCGCCGCAGCAGCAGGCTGCACAGCGTCCGCGTCGCCGCAACGGGCGAGCGCAGCTGGTGGACAAAGGAGGCGAGGAGCTGGCGCAGCTCGTCAGCGCCCAGCTCGCCCATCTCCTCGCCACCGTCGCCTCCGCCTTCGCCTCCTCCTCCGCCGCCGCCGCGAGCTGCTGCGGAGGAGGCTCCGCGCTGCTCCGCGTCGCCGCCGCCGCCCGTGACCGGCTGGCCGCGGCTCCGCGCCGTGCCGCCCGCCCCCCTCTCCGAGGGCTGCGCGTGCGGCGAGGGCCCTCCCTGCCTCCGCCGCCCCCTCCTCCGCCCCTCCGCCTCCACCTCCCCCCCCTGCCGCATCCCGCCGCCGGCCGCCGCGCCGCCGTCTCGCGGCGCGTCGCCGTACACGATCTCGCGGTAGCCTCCGCCGAGGCCCGAGTACCTGCGGTCGAAGAGGGCGGCGACCGCGAGCGCCGAGGCCGCAGCCTCCAGCTCGCGCGCCTAGCGAGGGCGGCTCGCATGCTCGCAGAGAGAGAGAGGGGCGCCGCACCGCACCGCCGCAGAACCGTCGCCCCGCCTCCTCTCTCTCTCTCTCTCTCTCTCTCTCTCTCTCTCTCTCCCTCCCTCCCTCCCTCCCTCCCTCCCTCCCTCCCTCCCTCTCCCTCGCGGGATGCTCGCCTGCTCCTTGGTCCAGGACGCAGGTGGAGGGGAGGCGGGCGGCGCGGCCTCGCTCAGGCCCGGCGCGGCCCGCCAGATGGCCAGCATGCCGAGCACATCCGAGCCGTGCACGAGCGGTACAGAAAGGCCCGCCTCAGCAGCCTCCTCGGGCAGCCGCCCCAAGGGCAGCGGCGAGGCAGCGCGCGAGAGAAAGGGGTACGATGGCATCAGCGACCCCGCGTCGGTACCGCCCGGCAGCGGCGGCGAGTCGACTGACGGCCGGACGCCCTCACCGACGATCCATACCTTTTGGGTCGCCGGCCAGACCGCGGCCGGCACAAACTCGAGAGCGCCGGTCCGTGGGTCCTCGCGCCGAAAGTAGATGGCGGCGCGAGAGGCCTGCAGCCGCGCGCCGAGCACCTCAAACTGTGCCTGAGCGACTGACGCAAACTCAGGCGTCATCGGCGTTAGTGGCTCCCACAGCCGGCCCGCTCCGTGATCGCACATAGCCGTCGCCGCGCGGTGGCGCCCGCGCGCGCCGTGGCGAGCCGCGTGGCTCACCAGGGCACCGAGTATTAGCACGGCGCACATGCGGGCACGCAATCGCCACCGCCCCCCCCGTCCGTTTGGCTTCCCTGCTTCCCACCCCACCAACCCTATACCGCGCGCCACTTCAAAGACCGCCCCCGCCTGGTGAGAGAGGACGGCGACGGGGACATACACACAAATACACTACGTGCCTCCCCGTCTTTGTAGCCTGGCGTTTGTGCCCCGTTTGTGCCGCGTCCCGTGCCCCCGAGTTCATTCATTTTCATAACCTGTGTGAGAGAGAGATTTTTAGCAATACCAAACAACACCTGTGTGTGAGCTCTGTGTGTGTGTGTCTTCTTAGTATATACCATTGCATACTGCTCATGTGAATCAGGGGTCTGACACACCTCTTATAGAAGCCTGTATACAGCAGCTTGTGATGTGTTTGTTTATCGTACAATGGAGAGAGCTAAAAGTACAATGGAGAAGTTTACTTCGTAAGGTACCCACTCCCAACATTATTCCGCGACTCCCAACCTAGCTGCCCGGGCCTCCCACCTCACAAAGATTTGGCAAGAGCCACAAAGATTTGGCCGTCCACCAATGAGTGGCCAGGCCTCGTCCTCGACCGCAGCCGCGCCCGGCGCTCCACATCCACGGCCGCAAGGCAGGGCGCCGAAGGAGCACACGTGGGATGGAAGCTACGGGGAGAGCGGTGCCTGGCTGCACAACGTCACCGGGCTGCCCTGGGCCAAGGGCGGGCGATCAGCAGCCTCGATGGCTCAGCAGCGCGAGCGCAAGCGCGAGGACAAGCGCGACAGGAGCGGCAGGCCGGAGGCGTCCGGCGCGCAGAAGCGCAAGAAGGGCGCGGTGGAGGCGGAGCGGCGCGACAGGAACCGGCGGCTGAACGTCATCAACCAGTACCGCACAGCGGCTCGCAAGAAGAAGAAGATCCCACTCGACTCGAGCCAGGTGGCGCGCACTAGGGAGGAGAAGCGGCTTCTGGGCGACAATTTCGTGCACGAGGGCCAACGCGTGCGCGTGATCGAGGGGCTGCACGCTGGCTGCTGCGGCGTCGTGCTCGAGCGAGCCGTGCTGTGGGAGTGCGGCAGGGCGGTCACGGCCGTCGTTGAGCCGGAGCATCACCATGATGTGCTGCTGGACGAGGATGAAGATGAGGCCGGGCCGCGCCGCATTTCGCCTTACCAGGTGGAGCCGTGGCCTCGCGTCGGGCAGCAGGTCGGGCTTGATCTCAGCTTGATCTCAGCTTGATCTCAGCTTGATCTCGGCTGGACCCTGGCTGGATCTCGGATCTCGGCTGGATCTCTGCAGGTTTGCTGGCTGCCCGGCGAGCCCAACGCGATCGCCACGGTGACGTCTTTCCACGGCGGCGACGACAACGGCAGCGGCTACATCCTCTCTCGCCGCCTCTACGCCTCGCCGGCGACCGTCGAGGCGATGGCGGGTGGCGAGGTGCGTGGGACACGAGCAGCTTGAGTCATGAGCAGCTTGAGTCATAAGTCACGAGCTAAGAGTCACATAGCCGTGCAGGTGCGCGTCGGCTCGTGGGTGCGGCTGCTGCCGCCGCATCCAGAGTCATCGCCCGAGCTAGACGTCTCGACAGCCAGGCTGCCCGACGAGCCGTCGATCAAAGACGCGCAACGGATGCTTCACGAGCTCAACCTGCATGACGTCGCTGAGTTCAGCTCGGAGCAGCTGCACGAGCTCGTGACGTTCCCCTACTATCACCGAGTGCCCGGCTGGCACGCGCCGGCCATGTCTGCACAGCCCACACCGAGCACGCATCCGCATAGCTGGGTCTCAGCAAGCGCCGAGTTCCTGCCGTTGCGAGATGTGTATGTCGTGCGCGGTGCATGCACGGCGTGCGGAGATTGCCTCGAGCTGGAGTGCGTGACCATGGCATCTCATGATACTCTAGAGCCGCTCGGTAGCGAAAGCGAGCGAGATCCGTGCTGCGCACATTGCAACCACGACCACATGTTCAAATGCGCGCACATGGGTCACGCCGGCGAGTGTGTGTATTCGTGCCCAGAGTGCGAAGTGTCCGGTTCGAGCGATGGCGAGTCGGGTGCCAGCGATGACGACAGCGGTGAGTAGGTGAGTCTACCCTAAAAGTACTCCATTGTACCATGCGGAGCCTTTATTTCTACTCCTGCACACAACTAGGAGCGGTAAGATGTGCTAATGCAGTGATTGACAAAAAAACAGCTTTAGGGACAAATTCTTGTTTGCTCATCTCCTGTCGATATACGAGTCCCCTTGAATGATTTGTGGATTTTGTTTCAAGTTTCACCCCTAAGATATTGTCGGACTTTCAGTGTTCCTTCACTTGTTGCCCAAAAAAGAACATCTCTATCGCCAGTTGAGGCGCCTTGAAAAATGAGTAAAGCCAGGGAAAACATTTTGAGTGACTCGAGTGACTCCCAGGTTTTGCGCATACACATTGAAGCTCATGATACAGGGCGGTGCTACCAATACACCTGTGATTAGGAACCTTTTCTCTTTAAAGCTCTATTGAGGCAGTATGATCGAGTAACAGACGCGATCCCGCCCACTCTATCGGCTGCAGAGCCTGCGGTTGTAGAGCTTGCTGCTTCCCACCTTTACACTGAGACGGCCTGCAGGGCCGGCGCGGACCGCCTCGGGCGCGATGGCCCTCCTCAGTACCTACCTCTTTGATGCCTGTCGGCTCTCCAATCTCGTCGCCGGCGGCAGGCCCGCATGGCGCGCTGCTCGACGGCAGCCTGCTCCCCACCCTTCCAACAGTGACTTTTGCCTCGCTGCTCTTACTGCAGCCGCCTCCGGGGCCGGCGCCGGCCGCCTCGCCTCGCCAGTGCTGTCTACGCCTGCGACACGCATGTCGGCTCGCCGCCCGCGTCGCCCGCGGCGGGCCCGCATGGCTCGCCGCTCGTCGGGAGCGTTCCCAGCAGGCTGTGCAGGGCAGTCTGCCTCACTCAGGGCGCCGCCGCCGCTGCGCGGGGCCGCCACCGGCGCTGCTGCCGTGAACACTGCCGCCGTGTACGTCACCATCGCCTCTCTTCGTCGCCGATCTCGCCGACGCCGCTCGCCGCTCGCCGCCGCCCTGCCCTGCCCTGCCCTGCCCTCGCACAAACAAACAAACACACACCCACACACACACCCACATACACACACACATACACACACACAACACACCCTGCCCCAACCTCGAGCGCCCCGCGCCCTCCCGCCCAACGCCCTGCGCCGCACGCCTCGAGCTAGTAAACACCAGACACAGACATGTTTTCTTTCTTTTTCTACTCGGAGCCAGTGATACGAGAATACGCGCATGTTACGAGAATACACACTGCCCCCACGGAGTACCTGTACTACTTGACGATAATACAAGAATACGCAGCTTGGAATTTGCAGACGCCTATAAAGAAAAACAGCGAGCTAAATTTCGGCGGCTAAAAAGCAAAGGACGGGCGCTTTTGATCGGCAAAGGAAAGTTGGAGTAACGGCGACGGCGTTCGCAATGAAGTCGCCTGTCGAGCAGCTTCCGCGGCGCGCCTGCGCCGCGGGGTTGACCGACAGCCGCGCCTCTCGCGCCTCCCGCGCCACGCGCGGCGACGCGCACCCTGCGCGCCAGTCGGCGCACTGGCAGTACTGCACCAGCCAGCACGGCGTGGAGCAATGCATCCAGGGCATTGTGCTGGGCGCCAACCAGCATGCCTCAGGACAGAGCAAGGGAGCATGCTGCGCACCCTGGCGCAGCGCCAGCTCGCCTCCAACCAGGCATTCTCACCACTGCACAGCCGCCCACGAGCGCCCGCAGCTGCACTGCTCAACGCTGAAGCTCAGGAGCCTCCCCTTGTTGTCACAGCTTTGTGCAGTGCAGCGTGCGAGCAGCGCAGCGCCAGGCTGCCCCCTGGCACGCCCGGGCGGCTGTGGGACGGAGGCCCGCCGAGCGAGTGCGAGCCGCATCGGCGGCCATGTCTCCCGCCGCCGCGAGCGAGCGGCGCAAAGAGGCAGCGTCGCGCATGCTTTCCGAAACGATCTTTTATTTTGCACGCCCCGACGGCCTCCCTGCGGCTGCTCTGGCTTCGAGTGGCTGCTTCTACACAGCTGCTACACGAGCACTGACGCCACTCGCCTGAGACACATGTACCTATCGGTCCTCTTCGGCACGGGTCTAGCGTGCGCGACGGCGCAGGCGTTCTTCTCGTAACGGTCGTCTTCTTCCCGTAACGGTCGTCTTCTCTCAAACCAGCCTCAGACTCGGCTCAGAGCCCAAAATTTGACGATTTCCACGGAGTTTTCCCGGGAAAAGAGAGAGGAAAAGAGAGGGTGTTGTAGAGAAAAAAGGAAAGGAAAACAGACGGGGTGCGAGAGGCAAACTGTGCTCAGCCCAACACGTTGAACCGGCGGCGACCCCAAAGGAAGACTCGGCGACTTTCGTCGGCACGCTGGTAGTGACCAGGAGAAGAGAATGGCGCCATTTCAAGGCACCGTCGGCGTGGCAGAGATTTCGTTGTCGGGAAATATCTTTTTTTGGCTCTGGACCGCGCCGGCGCGAGAGGCCCACCGCGCTAGCGATGGACGTCACATCGGTGCTGCTCGCCGCGCAGTCCCATGACCAGGCGATCCGGCAGCAGGCCGAGCAGCAGCTCGAGTCGGCGAAGCAGCAGAACCTGGCGCGGCGCTCGCTGCGGTGCTCTCGGCTCTGCACCCGACTGACAGCCGCTCTCTCCCCCTCCCCCTCCCAGCCGCTGCTGATGTCGCTGATGGCGACTGAGCTCGCCAACGAAGGCAAGGAGCTGCGCATCCGCCAGGCCGCCGGGCTGGTGCTCAAGAACTGCCTCAGTGCCAAGGCGCGCGCACTCCCGCCCACCAATCCCCTGCGCTCAAGCGGGCCTGCAGCGCCGCGCGTGCTGGCTCTGCGCGCGCCTCGCGGCCCGCCGCGGGCGCTCTCTCGCACGACGGCGCGCCGCACGCGCGCGCGGAGCGTCGTCCTGTGCGAGCCGTCTCTCTTGACAGAGCTGTCTCAACACGCTTCGCTGCCCGCCGGCACGCCTTCCACCTGCCGCCGCCTGCCGCGCGCCGCGTAGGACGGGACGAAGCAGCAGCAGCTGGCGCAGCTGTGGCTTCAGACGGACGCCAACGCCAAGCAGCAGATCAAAAACACCGTGCTCGGCACGCTCGGCAGCAGCGTCAAGGCGGCGCGGCACACGGCCGCGCAGGCCGTCTCTGCAATGGCAACCATCGACCTGCCGCACAACCAGTGGCCGGAGCTGATCCAGGGGCTGGTCACCAACGTGACCCAGGCGCCCAACGGCTTCGTCAAGCAGTCCTCGCTCGAGGCGCTCGGCTACATCTGCGAAGAGATCGATCCGGACGTGCTGCAACCGCAATCCAACCTCATCCTTACCGCAGTCATCCAGGCGACCGCCACTTCCGAGAACCGCCCCACTCCCCACCTCCCACGCTGCGCACCCGCCAGAGGGCTCGCCGGGGCCACGCCAGGCGCCGCCCCGGCCCTCTCGGGCTGCCGCCGCTGCCGCCGTCACCCTCGCCTCTCTCCTCCCAGCCTCGCCTGAGCTGCTGCTGCTGCTGCGGCCTCCCCCCCAGGGCATGCGCAAGGACGAGGCGGACGAGGAGATCCGGCGCGCGGGGACCAACGCGCTGCTCAACGCGCTCGAGTTCGTCAAGACCAACTTCGACAACGAGGTGGAGCGAAACTACATCATGCAGACCGTCTGCGAGACGTGCACCGCCGAGTCAAAGGAGCTCAAGTCGGCGGCGTTCGAGTGCACCGTGCGAGTAGTCGAGCTGTACTACGACAAGCTCGCACCGTACATGCAGGCGCTGTACACGCTGACGCTGCAGGCGATCGAGAAGGCGACGCACGACCCGGCGGAGGACGAGGTCGGCCAGCAGGCCATCGAGTTTTGGTCCACCATCTGCGACGAGGAGCTCGAGCTGATCGAGGAGGCGCACGAGGTGGAGCAAGAGGCCGCCGCGCCCCTCTGCGTAGAGTGCCCCCCTCCCGACCCTTCACGGGCCCGCCCGATAGGCGGAGCAAGAGCAGCCGCCGCGCCCCCCCTCGCGGCCGTGCCAGAACTTCGTGCGCGGCGCGGCCGCCTTCCTGACGCCGCTGCTGCTCGAGGGCCTGACGAAGCAGGACGAGGACGACGACGACGACACGTGGAACGTGGCGATGGCGGCGGCGACCTGCCTCGCTCGCGTGGCGCAGGTGGTCGAGGACGAGGTGGTGCAGTACGTGACGCCCTTCATCGAGCGCCACATCACCGCGACCGATTGGCGGCGGCGCGAGGCGGCGACGCTTGCTTTTGGCTCCATCCTGGAGGGGCCGTCGCCAAAGGCGCTGCAGCCGTACATGGCGGACGCGCTCAACCTGATGATCCGGCTGATGCGCGACGCGTCGGTCCAGGTCAAGGACACGGCGGCGTGGACCATCGGGCGCGTGTGCGAGCACCACATCCTCGCGATCACCGCGGAGCAGTGGCAGCAAATGACGCGCGCGCTGCAGCCGGGGGAGCCGCCCGAGGCGGAGGGTGTGCTGCTCGCGGGGCTCAAGGACGAGCCGCGCGTCGCCGCCAACGTGTGCTCCGCGCTGCACAACCTGGCGGAGCACTGCGAGGAGACGCGCAACAACCCGACCAACGTGCTCTCGCCCCTCTTCGTCGACCTCGCGCGCGCGCTGCTCGCCTGCACCGAGCGGCCCGACGCGGGCGAGCGGAATCTGCGCGTCTCGGCGTACGAGGCGCTGAACACGACGCTCACCAACGCGGCCGAGGACACCAAGGCCCACATTGCCCAGCTGCTGCCCGTCATCGCGGGCCGGCTCGAGCAGTCCTTCGCGATGCAGATCGTCTCCAACGACGACCGCGAGGCGCAGAACGAGCTGCAGGGGCTGCTGTGCGGCACGCTGCAGGTGTGAATAGTGTAGTAGTGTTCACGCAGGTGGCGGCGCCGCGCGCTCCGCTCTCGCGCGAGGGGTGGCTCTTCACACCCGCGCCCCGCTGCGAACCAGGTGGTGACGCAGAAGCTGGGCCAGCTCGACCGCGAGATGGCCGACCGCCTCATGCAGCTCTTCCTCCAGGTCTTTGGCTCCAAAAACTCGACGGTGCAGGAGGAGGCGCTCATGGCCGTCGGCGCCGTCGCAAACGGTGCGACCGCGACGCGCCGCCCGCCGCCCTCCTTCAGCCCCGCGGCGGCCGTCCGCGTGAGGAGTACCAGACGGCAAGAACTCTGACCTCCCCGTGAGGGACCCGTGAGGGACTCAACACCTCAAGCACTCTCCGACGGACCCCGCGCCTCCTGCGCCGCTCCCCTCCCCCCTCCCCCGGCCCACAGCGACCCCACCAGCTCGCGACTCACCCCGACCCTCGCCCTGCCCGCAGCTGTCGAGTCCGAGTTTGAGAAGTACATGCCCCACTTCCGCCCCTTCCTCTGCCTCGGCCTCAACAACTACGAGGAGCACCAGGTCTGCGCCGTCGCCGTCGGCGTGGTTGGCGACATCTGCCGCGCGCTCGAGGTCAAGGTGCTGCCTTACTGCGAGGAGATCCTGCAGCTGCTGCTGCGCAACCTCCAGAACCCCGCGCTCAACCGCAACGTCAAGCCGCCCATCCTGTCGTGCTTTGGCGACATCGCGCTCGCCGTCGGGGGCAACTTCGAGGCGTACCTGCAGGTGACTATGTCGATGCTCGAGCAGGCCGGCATGACTGCGATGGACGTGTCCAACCCGGACTTGGTCGACTACTTGGGGCAGCTGCGGGAGGGGATCTTCGAGGCGTACACGGGCGTGCTGCAGGGGCTGCGCGCAGATAACAAGGGGCCGAAGTTCACGCCCTACCTGCAGGGGGCGATGCGCTTGCTACACCAGGTGGCGCTCCCTCCGGCCAGAGGCGCCGACTGCAGGATGCGTTGGGATCACGGGCCGGCGCGTGCTCCCACCAGGTGGCCGAGTCGTGCGGCCACGACCATGTGTCGGACGACCTCTGCCGCGCCGCCGTCGGCGTCGTCGGAGACCTCGCGATGACCGTCGGGCCAGAGTTCACGCGGATAGCGAAGCAGGAGCCGCACAAGAGCTACTTGAAGGTGCTGCTGAAGGAGGCGCGCTAGCCTCGCCAAACGGGGCGCTGCGGCAAGCGCGAGCAGCAAACCCACCACGAGCCTGCGTCTGGTTAGGCGCGCCAATCGCCCAACGAGATGACGCAGCAGGTTGGCTCCTGGGCGACGCGCACAGTGTCCCAATAGCGGCCAGTCGTACCGCCGTCTCCCGCGAGGCGCGCCCTCGCCCCCTCGCCTCTCTCCCCTTTCCGCCCGACCGCCGCCTCCCTTGCATCTCACCCCCGCGTAACCCGCTGCACAGGCGGTTTTGGCCGCCAGCAACGCTCCGTCTTGGTTGCTGCGCCGGCCGTTGTATTCGCATCATATGCACGCCCCCACCCTCTGTATTCCGGCGGCACCCAACCCCGCTTCACTCTAGTTCGGCGTGCGGCGCGCTGGTCTGACGAGTGTCAGTGATCAGCGCCTCTCGCGCTATCAGCTAGGTGTGTCGCGCTGTGTGCTAGCCCTCCGTATTGCCCCTGCGCGTTGAGTGTTTCTTCTAACAAAGAGATTTAGGGTACATTGAAGCTGCAAGCACCATGATCGGCCATCGAGCATCGTGCCACTGCCTGCCAGGCGATCGATGCGGACGATGCTGATTGGTGATTGTGAAGTTCGTGTCTCGAGGAGCGTCGCCGCCGCCACAAACTGCTTCTTGAAGGCGGCCACTGCGCGGAATTGGGAATAACGTACGCACGCTACCCCGTCCCCCGCGAGCCCGACAAGCGACATAAAGTATGTCACATCAGCACACAGCAGTCTTCAGTCAACAGTCATCACAAAAATGAAGGCACCACATCTCACATGCGCGCCGCCGCGAGGCCGTAGGGGCGGGGCATGGGAGGCGCCGCATCGCTCGCCTCCGGGTCTTCCTCCGACCCGGAGAGGTCACTCGTGTGCGCTCGCGTCAACTCGCGGCGAGCGCCGTCGTCGTTCTCGTCGAGGTCCTCCTCTTCCTCCTGCGAGGGGGGCGGGGGCGAGGATGAGGGAGGAAAGACTCCAACGCCAGTGAGGGGCGAGCTGCCGGATGTGTGTCTCACGAGTGTCCCGGGAGTGTCGCCTCCTCGAGCGAGTCGAGGCGCGAGATGCGAGTCGAGGCGCGGGAGACCCTGCCTCGCTCCGGGAACATGAGCTCCGCTGCGGCCGCCTCCACCGCCGCGCGGCCCACCAGCTCGTACAGCCGCTCCAGCGCTTCCGCAGGAGGCAACCTGCGGAGCAAGTCACTCGCGTGTGTCTCTCCCATGCAGCCACTCTCCTCAACGCGCGGTTGTCGCGGCATGTGCGTGTGTCTCGGGCTCACTTTCCAGCGCTCAAGCTGCTGTTGAGCGAGCGCAGCCGCCGGTCGGCCGTGTTGAGAGCGCACCTGGGACGAGGGAGTCAGCAGCGCACTCAAAGCTAGCGGGTGTGCGGCCGGGAGGGCAGGAGAGAGGATATTGGCGAGGCGCGAGCGGCGTGCGAGGTCAGAGCTCACTGGAAGACGAGGTCGCTGCAGCTGACGAGGACTGTGCGGCGCGGCCCGTCCCCCGCCTCGCGGTACTCCTCCCCCGGCAAGCAGTCGGACGGCATGGCCGACGATGTCGCCATAATAGAGGGTGGTGGGACGGCCGAGTTCGCGTTCGCCGAGCAGGCTTGCGCCGGGTTTGCCCTCCGCTCGAGGGCGAGCTCCCAGAAAGGCCTGCTCTTGACGAGCCGCCTGCCGCCCGAGACCGAGGTGCCCACCTGACGCTTGGGCGGCGCGTTCGCCAGGCCCTCCTCACGCGGCGCAGCTTCAATTCCTTCAAAGCATCCCCGGCAGCCTCCATCCCGCCCTCCCTTGTGGTGGTCGTGCGCTGCACGCCGATAGCGTGACGGCCTATTCGAGAGCACTCGGCGTCAGGCTCCGGATGGGGAAATGACAAGCGCAACTGCGGTGAAGGCCGCCGCAGGAAGGCTCGCAGGCGGCTGGGCGGCACGCGAGCCTCGCCGCCGCCGTCGCCTTCGCCTCCCGCGCCGCTGGGTGCGCAGGGCGATCGGCCGTTCAATTGGCCGCCCGTCGGTTTGCAGGGCGATTGGCCGACGAGAGAGGCAACCACGCCGTGCCAGAAGCCCTCGCCGCGGCTGGCGCTGCAAGCAGAGGGCGGCGCGGCGGATCTCTGCCGCGCCAGCCGCCGCTCGGGCGTCAGAAAGCGAGCTCGCTGCCGCCGTTGAGTTTTCGGCGGCTCTTGCGCGGCGGCCGCTTCCAGCGTCGAAGAGTCTGCGGGAGAAGTCGGCTCGGGCGGCGGCGTAGCTGGCGGTGGGCCGTCCGCCGCGAGCGCTGCCTTTGGATCCAAAGGCAGCGGCGTCGTGGGCGGTGTGAGACACGGCGACACCGCTGCAACCACAGTATCGAGCCACGAGCGTTGGATACTCTGAGGCGTCGGCGATGCCGGAGGCTGAGCCGAGCGGGCGGTCCCCGGTCGGCGGCACGCCTCCGCAGCAGCGAGCCTCCAAAAGCTGGCGTCTGCATGCGGCGAGAAGCAGGTCCGCAGCGAAGGCGAGGCGATCGCGGGTGGCGGCGTTGGTGGTGGTGGCGGCGTTGGTGGCGGCGGCTGTGGCGGCGGCGTTGGTGGCGGCGGCTGCAGCCTCGAGTTGCCCTCCGAGCTTAGCGGTGAGAGTGGGACTCGGCGCGCCTTGTTTTCAGGTGAGCCCGGCCCACAGACAGGAGGCGGCGGCGTGACGTGCGGCACGGGCGAGAACATGGCTGCGACTGCGACTGCCGAGTCAGAGTCCGATCACGGGGTTCAAAAACTTAGCTCAAGAAATTGCAAACCGGCGCGTGCTCCAAGTGCTGAAAGTGCTGCGAGCCACACACCCGCCTCAATCCTCTCCCACCAGCACCACTCGCATCCTCCCCGCGGTCCTCCGTCGGCCGCGCCACACTTCACAACAACCCGCCTGCAGCAATCAGCGATCCCGCCCAGATCACGTTGTGCGACACCGCGACCAGCCCGAGTTGCGCGCCCCTCCGCCGCGCGAGCCGCCGCCGCGCGACCTGCGCCTCCCAGTCGCGCATCTCGTCGGGGCCCGCGACTAGCCTCACGCCCCCGGCGCCTCCAGCCTCGGCGGGCGAGGGGCGGAGCCTCAGCGGCGGCTCCATGCTCGCGCACCTATAGGATGGATCCACTTCCCTCGCGGGCTGCTCCTCCGGCCTCCTGCGGCGGCGGCGTCCTCGCGCACAGCCGCAGCAGCTGCTCGCTCCTCGCGTCGTCGACGTACAGCTCGACCCGGCGCGGGACCACCCCCGAGGCGGGGGGCGGGTGCGGTCTCACCAGCTGCGGCTCGGCAGAGGGCAGAGGCGGTGCGGGGCCGTCGGCATCGTCCACCCCTTGCGACAGCTGATGGAAGAAGTGGAGGGTGCCCACCTGCGGCGGGCCACCTCGTCCTTCAGAGCTGGTCCTCTTCAGAGCTGGTCCTCCCTCGCGCGGGAGTGAGAGGGCAGAGGTGCTCACCTGAGCCACCCCCTCCGGCAAACCGCGGAGGTCGAGCGACCGCCGGGAGGAGGACGAGGAGGAGCCCAGCCCGCGCTCGTCAAGCTGCCACAGCCCGCGCCGCTCCGCCTCGCAAAAGAGCTTGTCAGCAGCGGCCACCCTCTCCGCCTCGAACTCCGCCGCCATCAGAGCGCCTAGTGCGCAAGACCGCCCGACGTCGCTCGAGCCTCGGCCGAAGCTCGCCCAGACGCAGCCGTGTTCAGAGCGCCGACGGCGACGGGCGGCATCGCGCGCCGGACCTCCTCCCCGTGCGCCGCGAGTGCGCGCGCGCCGCCCAAGTTTCCCTCTCGCAGGCACTGCAGCACCAGCGCCCCGCGCTGCTCCGACTCTGTGATTAGCAGCCGACCGCCCGCCGCCCCCGCCGCCGCTGCCGCCGACCCCGCTGCCGCTGCCGCCGCCGCCGCCGCCGACGGCGGCGGCGGCGGTAGCGGCGGCGCGTGCGCATCGATGTGTGCCTCGATCTCCTGCGCCACAAGTCACCGAGATGAAGCCGAGAGCGAGAGACGAGAGGGGGCCGAGATGAAGCCGAGAGGGAGAGGGAGCCGAGGTGAAGCCGAGCTGCAGCTTCGCGCTCCTGCATCACCGCCACCGCCTCGAACGGCGCCGCCGAGCAGCGCGCGGCGGCGGCGATGAGCGAAGAGATGGCTGGTCCGCCGCCGCGCAGCCGCAAGCCGCGCCTGAGGAGGAGTCGATTCACGTTGATCATGCGGGCTCGGCCCCAGCCGGCGAGGCCGCGTAGCCGCGAGGGGCTGCCTTCGGAGCCGGCGGCAGAGGGAGATGGCGGCCTCGGTCTCGCTCGCGTCGGCGAGCGCGCGAACGAGCGCAGTCAGTGCCCTGCTCTCCGGCACCACACCGTCCGAGAGGCACTTGTCGCAGGCAGACAGCGCGCGCTCGGTCTGCCCGAGCCGCAGTCGCCCGAGGATGAGGGCGGTGTAGAGCGCGGCGTCGGGGCGGACGCCGCGCTTCCGCATCAGCCCGCCAGCCGCGAGCAGCGCGTCGTCGTCGCCGCAGCTCACCGCCGCCTCAATCAGAGGCACGAACGCGGCAGTCGACGGCTCGCGCGCCGCTGTAAGCCAGCGGAGGGTCGCGTCGATGCCTCCGTCGTTGAGGACGAGCTCGGAGAGCTCCGCGTCGAGGGAGGAGGAGGAGGCGCCCTTCCGCGACGCGGCGGCCGCCGCCGCTGTCGCCGCCGCCACCTCGCCCCTTGCTCCGCCGCCGGAGTCGTCGTGGACGGCGATCCGGGCGAGTGCCGCGTACCGTGGGCCCGAGAGACGCTCGCCCGAGGAGAGGACCGCGCGGGCCAGCGCGCCCATGGCCCCGCGAGCATTCCGCATCACCGAGGGCTTGCTTGCGTTGCGGCTGCGGAGAGGGCGCAGAACCCGGTCCGCTGTCGCCCCCGCGAAGTGTGTCCTTGTTGTCCTTTGGCCGTTGGGTACGCCGCGCCACCAAGGGACCCCGTTCCACCAAGAACCTCAGTATCCTCTCAAAGGCCTCCCATGTGGCATCCGTCTCGGACAGCTCACGGTACGCCCTCGAGGTCCGGAAGAGAGTCCGAGTCGGCCGAGTCAGCCCGGTGAAGTCTCCAGCGACCAGCCTCATCTGACCGCTTGATACGCTCTCGTCTCTCGACCCAGGAGGCCATTTGCGTGTGCCCACGCGAGGTGCGGGTCGCCTGCCGGGGAGCGAGGACGGGCTGAGCATCTGCGTACTGAACGGGACGCGCCGGCCGCCCTGCCTCTCTGCCTTTGCCACCCTCGTATCCTAGTCGTCGCCGTCCGGCCGAACCCACACGCCACGCAAGAAGTTCCATTCGCATGCATGGAACGCCAGAGACGGTCGGGGCTCTGGCTCGGGGCCTGGGAGTGCCGCCGGCAGCACGCACAGCGTTCAATGCTGCCGCCGCTCCGTCCGTGCCGACGACATTGGTTGTAGAATCTTAAAATACAACCCTCTCTCACAGCAGAAGGAGGCAGATGGCCAATAGCCACGAGCGTTACGAAATGTTGCGGGACCGCGAGCGTAAAAAATCTGTTAATGCGAATGCGAGACAGGCAGGATTTCCTGCGCCTGTCGAACCCTTAACGTGTGCGCGATGCGCCCTCTCCCGAGCGAGTCCCGTTGCCGGTGCCCTTCCGTGCCCTACCCCCCTGCCTGGGTGGGAACGTCCTTCCAACGACGGTGTCGCTGCGGCGGTGTGTGTGCGCGCCTGTGTGTATGGATAAGAGTTTTGCCAGCCGCTGTGCCAGATCTCCTCGAATCAGCCTTCGTTCGAGACGTGCGAACCTGCCGCCTGCGCCCCGTCCCCGTCGCGAGCGGCGCGGCCGCGCGGCCGAATGCGCTGTGCAGAGTGCAACGTGCTGTGCAGGCGCCCACATCCTGGCCCTATCTCCGCAACGTATTTGTATTACAAGGCAGGTCACACGACTCGAGAATATGCGGCACGGCACAGGGAGTCACAAGACCGTTAGAGGTTGCAAGAGGCCCCGAGAGGCCCCGAGAGGGCCAAACACCAAACGGTCAACGCCGCAAGCCATGGAGCCGCTACGGCTCTAAGCGCTATCCTCCGAGTCGGACAGTAGCCAGGCGTGCGACGCGAGCACTGGCGTCGGAACAAGTAGCACGTCGTCGAAACCAGCCTCGAGCACCTGCTCACGATGGACGTTGGCGGCGTTGTGCGAGACAGCGACGACACGTGCACGGGCTGCGCCCTCATGCGCCTCCCAGGTTCGGAACTGGCGAACCAGCGTTGCATCGATCCTCAGCAGATCCACCAACGCGAGAGTGAACTCGTGCGTCGAGGTCAAAAGGCGAAGCCCCGCTGCGCCGTCAGACGCAACGACGACGCTGCCGCGAGCGACTCGGAGAACAGCGGAGAGCTTGCTGGCAAGGTCGTCGTCGCCAACAACCAGTACGCGACTTTCCCAGTATATAGAGCCGGCCGGCGCATGTTCCTCGTCGAACTGGAAGACCTGAGGCGTCATAGGAATCTACAATGTATGCATGACGAGGATTGGGGGGGTACCGTGCTTCGTCGTTGCACAAAATGAGAAAAAATCTTTTTTTTTGAGAGCGCCTTCGTTGTTAATAGTACAAACCCAATGGTCCTCTGCGAGTGGTTTTCCACAGTGAGAAACTCCGAGAGTCGGCGTCTGGCGCGCCGCTAAGGTTTTTTTGCTCGCGTTTTCCTATTCCAATAGCATGTGTGCATGACCCCGCTTGTTGCGTGTCTGTGACTGTCACTGTCGGGGGGATTTTTAGAACTCACTGTGCTGTCGTGCGATTTCGGGCCCGGGGGGTTGTGCTTGGGTGTGAGACGAACGTCACAGGCGAGAACGCCTCACACACAAGCTCACAACCTGCTCCCTTTTTACATCCTCTACCCCCTGCTGACACTGACCCCCTCCATTGTGATTTTCCTCCATTGTGATTCGTGTCACACCTAGCCGCCTGGCATGGGCGACTGGTCGATCGTCGCAAACTCGTCGCGCGAGATGCACCCCGACTCGTCGAGGTCGAGAGTCCGCAGTACCTGAGGACGCGTGGTGCCGTCGCGCCGTGGGCGTGCCTAGACCAAAGGACCCACCGCGCACACCATCTGTCGTCAGCTGTGTTTGCTGTATCTGGTCGCGTCTCGGCTACATCTCGCGTTCGAGACGAGGAAGGGGGACGGCTCTGCGCCGAGCGCCTGTCGCAGCGCAATGCGGATCTCGCCCTCCGAGATCTCGCCGTCGCCTGTTGACGGACCAACGTGTGGAGAGACGCTGCTCACAGATCTCGCCCTTCGAGATGCCGCCGTCTCGCCGTCGAGGTCGAGCGCCTCGAACGAGCCCAGCCGCCTCCACATCCGCTTCGCCTGGTGCATGACGACCACGTTCAGCGCGGGCAGAAAGTTGTCCTCGTCGGGCAGCTCCTCGGCGTGCAACTACAGGCGAGAGGCAGCCAGATCCTCTTCACGCGAGTGTGGAGAGGCGGCCCTCGCCGCGGGCGTCGCGCGCCTTCCCAAACTCCACCAGCGGCAGGATCTTGAAGGCGCCTTTCATCAGGTTCCGCGGCAGCGCCACCGAGTAGCTCGCCGATGGCTCGAGCGGCTTGCCTCCGATGCGGATCTCGCCCGCCATGACTCCGCCCTCGCCGATGCGAACCTCCACAGAGTCATCCAGCTGCAGGAAGGCGCGGTTCTCCTCGCTCGGCGCCTCCTCGGTGGGCAGCCGCGAGGCGAGGACGGCATCCCGCAGCGTCGCGCCGGGCATCTGCACCACCACCATCTTGG